AAAACAATATTTGACAGAAATGGAAAAAAAATCGAAATGTGAAAAAACAAAACAGAAAGCAACAAAAAATGGAAAAATTTGAAAAAAAAAAAATCCAAAAATGTGGAAGAAATGAAAAACGAAAAATAAAATGGAAAAGTTGAAAAAAAAACAAAACAAAAAAAAAAAAACAACAGAAAACAAAAACTGAAAAAATAAAAACTCTAAAACGAAAGCAAAAGACAAGCAAAAAAAAAATGGAAAAAAAATAAACAGAAAGAAACGAAAATTAAAAAAGAATAATTGATTCGTTTCCTTTTTAAAGAAAATAAAATAATGAAGGAAACATGAATGAGTACAGGAAGATTTTGCAGGTGGTCCTTTTTATTTTATGTGTGTATTTAGGGCTGCTATAAATTTCTCGGTGTAACCCTGTTACAAAAATCAAAATTAAAAAAAAATATCCCTCATTGAACAGCCCGAGAAATGTTCAGCAGCTCTCAAAGAAACAGACAGACGAATAGTATTATGACATAGATAGATAGATAGATAGATAGATAGATAGATAGATAAGGAACATATTTAGATAGATAGATAGATAGATAGATAGATAGATAGATAGATAAGGAACATATTTAGATAGATAGATAGGTAGATAGATAGATAGATAGATAGATAGATAAGGAACATATTTAGATAGATAGATAGATAGATAGATAGATAGATAGATAGATAGATAGATAGATAGATAATGGTAGGATGTATAATAGCATCCTAAACAAAAGGGAAAATAATGAGACAAAGTGGAAAATCAAAGACGCGTTTTCGCCGGAGAAAACCTTAGTCTGCGTTTTCTTTGGCTTCATCCGTTTAACTAAAAGAAGAAATACAAAACTATGTGTAGATAGATAGATAGATAGATAGATAGATAGATAGATAGATAGATAACATATTTAGATAGATATATGGATAAAGAACACATTTGAATATATAAATAGATAGAGCGATAAGGAACATATTTAGATAGATAGATAGATAGATAGATAGATAGATAGATAGATAGATAGATAGATAGATAAGGAACATAGATAGATAGATAGATATATAGATAGATAGATAAGGAACATAGATAGATAGATAGATAGATAGATAGATAGATAGATAGATAGATAGATAAAGGTGTATTACTTAAGTTTGTTACTAGATAGGTAGGGAGATTTGACCTCTTCTTCCAAAAGTGATACGAACAAGGTTTTTTTTTCCTATTTTATTTATCTCCCCCAATTACTAAAGGACTGTGAGATTAAAATGGTTCAATGGCCGATCAGTGAATGCCACCTGGCATCCATAGATATCGAACGTTGAATTCTGTTTCTCTTTCTCCAAAAAGGACTAAGAACCGAATAACATTGTTTTTAAGTTAGAAAGCTTTCTATCTTAAAAAAATTATTGAGAAATTCAAATAAAAGAATTCCTCAGTTTCTCATCTGATTCTAATTCTCGTGTCAAAACTTCTTCACTTTGAACTGGTGAACTGGTCACAAGCTTGTAAAAGCCAGCCCTTCATGACCTAACACTTCAGGAATCCCTTGATTAGCATGGGTAATGTTAGGTAACTATAAAAAAATCTATTTTCAGTTACTGTGATTAAAATGAAGAATGTTTTACCGAACTGATCGAATGTTATGTACGCCCTAATCGAATTATGTTATATAAACATTTTAGCGCACTAATCGAAAACGCATTAACCGAACGTGCATTAAACGAGGGATGCGTGTATTTTTTTACTGTTTAATAGACCGGAATAAATGTGCTTGCCAGTTGTGAAGGTAGCAAAATTAAAATCACAGGAAAGAGGGACTGAGAAAAGCAACGAGAAAAACAACGAGAAAATCAACGAGAAAAGCAACGAGAAAAGCAACGAATAACCGACCTGACTAGATTACGTAATTGGTTGGCACAACAGCGAATAGGAAGCGTGCTGAAAAGACAAGCCTTACTAAGAATTACAAAGGTTAGGAAGCTGTGGAAAAGCATGGAAGCACACGATCTGAACGGACACAGTACATAATTCATACTCTCATATTGAAAGAAGACTTATAAGTGTTGTAACTCTACTTCGTGTAGAATCACGGAAGAAGAAATCAAAGAACCAGGTTCGAATTGCAATCGCCTTCGTTACATTAATTTACGTGCAAATACCATTGCGAAATGTTGGAATCCATCTTTTCCCCAAGATATGGGTGAAATAGTTAGCTCTTGTATCTGGAATAATCATTGTTATCCTCTAAATAGTTATTGGCAAGTATGATCTTTCGTGACCGCAATAAGGACGTATTATCAAAAGGACGGTTGCTCACATGACACCGCTTCTTATTTTAACTACCGTCACTCTTTGGCAATGTTTACTTATTTAAAAAGCGATGACGATAAAATCTAAACATATGATGGAAATGAATTTATATATTTTATGTTTTTTATGATTTATACAAAAATTTACACGAAAATATTAAAGATCATTTATATATAATTTTTTTCATCAACAAGTTCAAAGCCTACTTAATTCATTGCATAAATACATTCTACCAAATTCCCCTTACCATAAACGATATATATAGGCAGTTACGCACCTTGATTTTCAGTTTTTTTCATTTGTTCAAAGCATAAGCATCAACACGTGGAGATAGAAAGAGTTAAAAAATTTTGAAAAGCTAAGCGAAACCGGTTAAATTAAAAAAAAAATTAAAAAAAGGAAAACAACAAATTATTTTTCTAAGAAATAAACACTGCAAATCCATTTGTATGTAACAAAGTATTAATTCTTCTCTGTAAAGATTCATATATTATAAATAAATATCACTATATTAATATTAGGTGCCTTTTTTCAATTCTCATTTTAGTCTATGCAATAAATTTTTGTACAGAATCTTTCTAACAATTTTTACACACACACACACATACACACACACACACTTATATCCATACAACTGAGTATGTTAGCTCTATCAGTGATGTTGAGCTCATTCCACTAAGTACTGCGCATATATATATATATATATATATATATATATATATATATATATATATAAATCCTCTCTTCCTGTACATGTCTCTCCTTGGCCCCGTTAGTCTAGTCTCGCTTTCTGTCAACATGCAGCTACTCAGTTCGGAACCCTGCTTGTTCCGATATCTCAATCCTCACATGGCTATTGGATAAGGAGAGTTATACAGCTTCCAAATTGGTTTAGGGATTGGTGTCATTATAAGTCGCCAATCGTTCAGTCTTGGTTCTTCAAGTGATGTGATTCTTACTGACGAAGGAAGTTGTCTTTCTTCTTTTAGTCAATAAGCCATGGTAAACTTCTTGTTGACAACTGGGCTGACTGGAAACAAAGTCAAGCTCTCACCGAAGAAATAATAATGCAAGTTTTGATTAAATGTAGATGATTTAATGAAGGCGAATAAAATAATTAACAATCGGATATATCTGGCATCTATTAACACGAAAAGATCAGAAGGCAGCGACTTGGAGTTTCGATTTATGTGTTCAGTAAGATTTAATCAGAAATTCAAGTGAATATTGGGCCCCTTTCTTGAGCTGGTGCGCAAATATGTTTGTGTCTGGCGACTCGTCTCTCTCTGTCGTTCCAACCCGTCTCTGTTGTATCCTCAAAATCAAGTTGAATTTATACATAATTCTCCGCACATATATCAGACTGTTTATACGCCAAAATAACTCAATTCTCCATTGTTTAAAGTCGGGGTTAAAAGACCAAGTCCTGTGTTTGATTTTACCCCATTTCGTTCAGAGTCATTACCCCATAACCCAAAATATATTAGGCTGACATATACGTCAGAAACGTAATCAAAAACACATGGTACACACACACACACACACACACACACACACACACACACACACACACACACACACACACACACACACAAACACACACACACACATATATATATATATATATATATCCTGTCGAATTCGAGGTCACATTCGACAAATATTCCTGCCAGAGAAAATTAATAAGGTCTCGAATAACACACTCATTCTTTCTAAATCGTCGCCATGAAATGTAAAAAAAAACTACGATATCAGTTAATAACAAGTTACCTTGTAATACACACACATATATATATATATATATATATATATATATATATACTACAGATTGATGTCACCCGTGGTATTTTTTTAATTTACCCCCAAATCTAGTTATTTAAAAAAAAAACAAAAAAAAAACTAATGCATTTTTAACAAATGTATTTTGCATTGACAAGTCCAGGAATGTTTTTTTCTCCCATGGATGAAATGGCCATCTGTATGGCATAATTGGTTTGGGTTTCATTGATTTTAATTCACACACACACACACACACACACACACACACACACATATATATATATATATATATATAGAGAGAGAGAGAGAGAGAGAGTGAGAGTGAGAGTGAGAGGTGTAAGTATTATTGACAGTTGACAGAAGATGGGAACTAACCCCAGCAGCCGGCAATTGTTGACAGGATAAAAGCAAAGAACTATCGCGTATGGTTGACAATTACATATTTTTACATTTCTGTCATTTGATGAATTACAAAAAAAATATTAACGATTTTATACAATTGATGATAATTTGAAGAAAAAGAAAAAAATCTCATTCAACTTGATTATTCGTACCACTTTAGATTTCAATAGCATTTTAACAAGATTTATCTGCAACAGTTATACTCTTTAAATGGTAGGTGCATACTTAACACTCGAGAACAGGAAATAGATCGAACGAAAGTGTGCCTAACACGCATGCGCTAATGTCGTTGAGCGCTTCGTCTTATTTCGTGTGTTTTTTGTGAATATGAAATCGTGGTTGTTTATTCATTCTTGAGTTTATATGTGCAAATTCAAATGTTTTCCACATATACGTTGTTATCACTAATTCCTGTATACAGATGTACACACATACGCACATATCTATTTTCGTGTATGAATTGTTCGAATATCTGTATTCAGGCTTATCAGAAGGAAGAAAAAGAAGAGAAAGAGAGTAAATTGAGAGAGAAGAGGAGAGTATTGTGAAAAATATCAATGAAATCAATAAAAAATAGTAAAGAAAGAAAAAAGAAAAAGCGAAATAAAGAAAGAAAGAAAAAAGAAAGAAAGAAAAAGTGAAAGAAAGAAAGAAAGAAAGAAAGAAAGAAAGAAAGAAAGAAAGAAAGAAATATATAAATAAAGACAGAAAGAAAGCGACAAACAAATAAAACAGGTAAAATTATATGAGAAAATAAGTATTGAAAGAAAGGAAGAAATGATGGATAGATGGAAGGAAGGAAGGAAGGAAGGAAGGAAGGAAGGAAGGAAGGAATGGAGGAAGGAAAAGACAAACAAACGGACAAACGAAACAAGATATATGAGGATAGAAGCGTTGAAAGAAAGAAAGAAAGAAAGAAGGGAGGAAAGAAAGAAAGAAAGAAAGAAAGGAGGAAAGTAAAAAAGAAAAAGAGAGAAACACTAAAGAATTAAAAGAACGAAAAAGGATGAAAGAATAAAAGAAAGAATGAAAAAGAAAGAAAGAAAGAAAGAGGAAGGGAGAAAGAAAAATAGAGAAAACACTAAAAGAAAGAAAGAAATAAAGAAAGAAAGACGAAAAATACAGTTGGAATCTTTTAACACTTGTGAGAGAAAAAGAAAGACTATCTCGTAAGAGGAAAGAATGAAAATAAATGTTAAAAAGAAAAGGAAAGAACTCTTTAAAAGAAAAAAAAGAACGTAAGATTTAATTTTAAAAGGTTAAAAAAAAAGCAACAAAATAATAAAAAAAATCGAAAGTCGGAAGAGAGAAGTAAACAACATGAACGAAAGAAAGATCTGCGGAAAATAAAGTAATGGCTGGGTTGGGGAATAAATCTTTTCAGTCTAAAAAAAAAATTAAATGAAATCTTGACTAATAACAAAAATTAAATGCGAAAATTAATCAGAGCGACAACTTTGAAAAGAAAGCGAAAAGGATTGTGGGATAGCAGTTTATTGCCAATAATCGAAAAAGTGGCACCTTACGGAATTTAATCTGTCGCTAGCATGGCGGGCGTTTACCGTGAAGTGACTTTTTCCTTTGATGAAGAAGGTAAGTAATTTTTCTTTTGCAAATATTCATATTCGTTAATTCTCATATAATCATTTATCAGATAAAAAGTGACATTTATTCTCAGGAGAATCCTTTGTTTATTTTTACGATGACAATAAGAAAACGACAAAATGGTGAGACTGAAGATTTATAGTTTGGATCAGGTCGCCTTTTCATGTACTCCGGGGGAAGGATCAAAGTGTCGTAACTGCCTGCAGACGCGTGGCCGATTGGTTAGAACGTTTACATTCTGACCCGGGTTCGAATCTCACCAGAAGCGCAACTGAAAATATTATTAAGAATTGCCGGGTGTCAAGGAAGAGCTGACCACAACAGTAGCCCCCTCATCGCTCCGAGAGATGGGGACGGTAGTGATACCGATGCCAATTGAACCGACAGTTGCAGGGGCTGGGATATTTTTTAACCTCGTCTGGGTGCATGCGCCGCCCTCTCCACAATAAAATGACCCGGTGTCAGATCCTGCAGCGTGGGGTGGCAAGTAAGTACAATCTACCTTCGGGCAGACAAACTACATGTTATCTGCCAAATGTTTTTTTCTGTTTTCGGATAGAACGCAACAAATCAATGAGGGATTCTTGGTCCAGGGAGTTCTAACACTACGACAGCACATCCCTTAAACGATGTTTTAATATCGACGCCAGCGTGATGTTGGTTGCATTTTTCTTAACTAAGTCGATGATCACGTGCTTGGGATCCCTGCTTTATACCTGCCATGTGCCATATCCGTTCATCTTTGAACTAAAAAAGAGAGGGTCTGTGTAATATTGACGCCAGCGCGACATTGGTTGCGTGGACCGGGCAATTATGTGCCTTAGCCCATATTCACATTGGATCGTCCGTAGGGAACGAGTAAATACTAAGTGTCGTATCTGTTCTTCGCCTGACTCGTTCGCGCAGTTCATGGAAAAAGCCTTGAATGCTGCTTAGATCCAGACATTCCAACACTGCGGAACTTCCTTTTTACATTGCACCAAAAGAAGGGGCTCCTTGTACTCCCCCACCGAAATTACCTGACTCCTTCCTCTATGCTTTATCTTTACACGAGTCATCAAACAAAAGAAAATGGAATATTGCTGCCATATCTAGACTGGCGCTACTCATTCCTTCTTCTTCAGCCTTGTCAGATTTCGAAATCGCTTACGCGGTCTTGTAGAGCTAGCTTATTTTCCACCCAACTGTTCCTACCCCACAAGTTTAGCACTATTCTATCGCGAATCCCATGGCAAATGTTCCATTCTTTTGAGCCACCAGTTCAGACTTTTACAGCCAACACCAACCTTGCTACGCCACACTACTCTTTGTTCCTCTTTTGTGCGCACTGCTAGCGGAGCGGCCATGTTTATACTGTAACAGCAACAAGAAAACTGGCGCGATCTAGATGAAACTTCGATCACGTGACCACAATGGTACCAGTTATAAGCCCGCGTGTGCAGAAGGCAGTGTAACAAACCTAAAAATATGTTATGTCGAAATTGCGGATAATTTATTACCTACTCTTGTAGTTAAATGTTTGGCAAGACAATGGAAATGCTAGATAACTTTGGCTCAAACAGCAAAACCTCAATTTAGCATCTCTCGACTTAAGGAATATCTGAAATACGAAATTTGGATCGCAAGTCATCGTGGCCGAGGGTTTGAGAGTGCTGGTCTGGTTCAGAAAGTGTAACTAAGATCCACTCAGCATAGTTGCAGTATGGACCACAGGTGGGATCTGTGGGTTTTGAACAAACACAAATGTGCCTGAGCGGGCGTCTGCAATTGGGATTACCAACTGCCCTAGTAGGCTGGCATCCTCGGATACGAGTGGCTGCTGACTGTCTTTTTATTTTTACTGAATGAAGTTAGATAAATGCTAAACTAAAGCATATATCGAGTTCGTTGTAAGTTACTAACAAAATACTATAAGTTCGTTGTAAGTTACTAAGTACATGTCGGCATTAGCTGGGAAATTCGGTCGAACTTAAAAACAGATACAGATTTCAGCTATTGATAAAGACAATTTTCACTATGAATAAAAAATCCTACTTGGCAATAGTGTGTGTGTGTGTGTGTGTGAGAGAGAGAGAGAGAGAGTGGGGGGAGAGGATAACAAAGGAATATGATACAATTTGTTTCATGTTTGCTAATCTACGGATTTAGGAAACTGTAAAGTACTTGGATAAACTGAGTTTTAAAAGCTAGTACTGATCATTCTATTAGCATAGTACCTGTTAGAAATGATAACATTATTTACGTATGAAGCTTCGGAAAATTTCTAAGTCAGTCAGTTATAGTGATTTTCTAAGCCCGGCTTAGATGTGGCACAAGGCCGAAAGTATGGGGCACCCAGTGAAGATCGAACTCACTACTCAGTCGTAACTGGTCTAGCAAGACAAGCTTTCTAACCATTACATCACGTCGAGGTGCCCAAAGTCAGTCAGTTATATGCCATGCGTGATACACTAGACTGACGAGGCAGATTTTTTTTTCCGCAGTAGGTTGCCATTTCTTTCTGTGGTAGACTAGTTGCCATCTAAGGCTATAGAACCCAGTCTGTCCTGCTATTTACAGATAGCTGGATGGAGAAGAAGAGGATTCATCGGAAGGGTATTAGCACGTAAGGGAATGTAATGGATTCGATTGGAAGTCGAACTCGGCCCTCCTATCCATCACTCCACCGTGCCTCCTTTTCTAAGTAAAAAGTAAATTCCATTAAAGATTACGTCTGCAGCATAACTTCTCACAAACCCTTTCGGTATGAACAAGGAAAGATTTATACGATTGTTTTATTTGATATTTTATACAGTTTTACGTAACATTGCACTTGCGTGTTATCCTGGATTTAATAAAATAATGCGGTGATCTACAAAACTTGCTTCTTCTTCTTTACGAAATCAGAGCTTTATCGGCCTTAAGGAACACGTTCTGCCCGCAATTAGTTCTTTAAATCGAGAATTTATTGTAAATAGATTGACCCACTTCTCTAAGTTATCTGAACTCACACACGCCTGCAGTAAAACATATACCCCTAGATGTACACATGAATGGATGTATTTGTGAGTAATAACTTGAAATGTTAAAACAGACTAGAAAAGACTTGCACATTTAGACAAATCATCGCGAAAAAACCGTATCACTTTTCCGATTTAACGAATCCTCGAACTACAAAGCGAGACGAAGAACAAAGAAGTTAAACACAAAGAAAGAAATATAAATGCCCCAAGGATCTAATAACCGTAACGCTTGAATTATTGCATCCGATTCCGGTTAAACGCTTGTTCTGCTCAGAGAGAATCGATTGGCTGCCCGGATGTTAACAATGGCTACCAAGCATTTATTAGCCGACAGAAGTTCCGTTAATGTTTTTCTTTCTGTGAATTACGGCGTGATTAAAGAAAATGTTCGACTAAGAGATATGCAGATGTCGGTTGTTATATTGTTTTATTGTGACTAATGTTTTAAGTGACTTATGGGATAAGAATGGTGATGTTGGTGTTGACGTTGGTAGAGTGGGAGGTGGAGGAAATAAACGGAGAATAACATGACGACAAAAGGAGAAGGGAATGGGGCATAATAGGAAGAAAAAGATGAAGGGGTAAAGATTAGAAGGAGAGAAGAGAAATCAGAAAAAAAAAAAACGAAGAAGAGGAGAAGCAGAACAGAAAGAATATATATTAAAGTATAATTCAATAATAATGGAGCTTCACGTTACATATCTCCTTTTTCTATGGGGTATGACAAAGTGGAAAAAAGTTCTCGTGTTACGCGTTTCGACCTTTAGGACTTCATCAGGCTAGATTTGTTTACGTTGATTCGACTACACATGCGCATGAACGAGAGACGCTGGGAATTTTAAATTTTGAAAATATTTTTGAAAATTAAATTTTTTTTTCTTTAAATAATATCTTTTGGGTTATGTTATTTTTTTTTTTTTTTGAATAATGTATTTTGGGTTTTTTTTTTATAGTGTTTTGGGTACATAATCTAGAAAAAAAATATTCCGATGAATTTTGTTACCTCCCGTGGCTACATCAGACCATTCACTGATCAATGTCAAAATGGAGGCCAAACCAAAACCCTCTTCCGATATTTCATTTCATAGGATAATCTACTGATACACCAAACCTGGCTGGTATAGCTTTGGATTTGTAACTGATCTATCAGCGTTCTTCGAATATTGAGTTTCCAGAACAACCTTCTTCAACGCTGAATGGATTATTTATGATATGAGAAGTTTATCCCTCATAAAACGCATCGACAAAAGCCGAATATGTAACCTTATTTCACCTCTGAATCTGCTGCGCTCAGAGCTCAACATAACCACTACTGTCATCTCCATCAGAGGGAACGGTGTCGAAGAAATGTTACCTTATTGAGAACTGCCCGCAAACAATGTAAGAAAGTCCTGAAAAATGCCGGCAGCATCTATATGCAAGTGCTCCAAGTTGAAAAGAAGTTTAAATGGAGCCTTGCTTCACGCGTGTTATAGAAAATGGTGTCATAGAAAAATGATGCTTTATTATAGATCGACTGAGATCTCATTCTCGTCGTATAAGGCTAAACTTTGCGAAGTCTCTATCTCGACAGAAGAATTTTTCACTCGTAAAAAGCCTAAACTCGACGAAAGCTTTTAGTCCGGATAAAATGTATCTGTTGTTTTTTTAAGAATCTTAGCCGAGAGCTATCCACAATCTTAGCAAAATTATTTAACCGCTGACTGAAGGAGAGAAGTTTCAGACCTATGGAAGATGTCGGCTGTGTCCTCAGTTTACAAGAATGCGGCCGAGCTCTCACCTACTTCGCAATATCGCACTATCTGCCACCTTAGTGCCATCAGCAAATTTTATGAGGCTATCACCAAGAAGTTTGTCGATCACTTCAACAGAAGTAACCTCCTGAACGACAAGTAGCATGAGTTTAGCTTTTCTAGGTCCACTGCTGATGTTTTAACTGTTATTACGCTTAAAATCAGTGAAGTATCTGATAACAGATTAATCATGAGAACGAACCCCTTAAATATCTCAAGGATT